ATTGACAAAAAAAAATACCTTCTGTAACCTGCGTGGTATGGGGCCATTCTTTATCTTTTTTAAAAAGATTTTATTTATTTATTTGACAGAGAGAGAGAGTGGCAGACAGAGGGAGAGTGAGAAGCAGGCTCCCCACTGGGCAGGAAGCCCGACGGGGCTCGATCCCAGGACCCTGGGGCCATTCTTTAAAAAGGGAATTTTTACTTTCCAATTTAATCCAGGAAGACCCTGGGTTAACTGTGCTGTCTTGTTTTAAGGACTACTTTCAGAGATTAAATTCTAAATTCTCACGTTCTTCCAAAATCCATAGTTTCTCAGGACCAATGAGAAAACTGACCAGGTAAGCCAAATGCCTGCAATTTTACCACTGACCATGAAGAAATGTACTTGATAGCTATTATACAAATCACTGGTCATTGGAGGAAAGATAATGTCATTCTAAGTAGTGTTATGCATGAAATATAAATGTATTAAAAGATGAAATTCAAGGATGAACTTTAGACTATTCTTATCACTGGCCTGTTTGCCAGGTACAGAAGACTATTTGGATGCTGAAGCATACTGTGAATATTTCCTCCACAGACGATAAAGAGCTTTCATTAGAACAAGAGAAGAGAAAAAAACCTATGGTCTGGAGAACAAAAGCTAAGAGTTCCAAGTTTTAGTGGCCATGTTTCCCATTGGGCTATTGTGTAAGAAGAGTAATCCTGTATTTTTTTTCCATTCACAAATGGAAAAGGGTAAAATTTTGCTTTATTTAAGCCCAATAGCAATAATCTTACATGGGTTTCAGAAAAATGATACACATTTTACTGTGGGATAATGAGGACCATTAGTTATTAGAGAGAACAAATTATTCTCTTTCAATTCAACACACTTATTCATTCACTCATTTAATAGACTATCCTCTATCCTTTTCACTAAAATGGCCTTCCCATCAGAACACCTGGCCGTGCAACATGCCACCAGACAGACTTCAGGAGGTGTCTTGACAGGGAGAAAAATAGTCGGAGAATTTCCAAAGTGAAGCCACAGGATAAAACCAACACTTGATGCTTGCCTTTCATTTCAAGGAAAGTAGTATAAAAGCAAGAGAAAAAGAAAAAGGTAGTTGAAAAATATACTTGCTCTCCACAAAAGAGTCTTAAAAATAAAAAATCATGAACTTAATAATTTTCCTAAATGAAATTATGCCATTATTCCTGATTTCTTTGTACTAACTAAAAGGACAAAGTATCAAACTTCACTGAAGTTTCAACATTGTAATACATTTCATTAGTCAAAGATAAAAACTACATTAAAAGCAAGAGAATTATTTTATGTCTGTGATTAGGCAGCTGGAGGGCTTGTATTTTATGTATACATTTGTACACTTCAACTTATTTAACAGTGTCAGTTCACTAACTGCAGTTTTTTTATATAAAGAAAACAGATTTAGAATTTTAAAAACAAATTACAGTAATTTTATGCCTACAGCTTGCACCTCTTAGAAACCATGAACCCCCTAACACTCCCCTTACTTTCCCACCACTTTCCCACCTCCTCCCTCCTCCTCTCTAAAACCACAGGCTAAGTGAGAACTGGTAACAGGGGCCTCAAATCCTCTAGTGAAGAACAGCCACCCTGGTTTTTCGCTTGGGGTGGAGGAATAAAGGATGCAGACCACAATGTGGCTCCCGCACAGGGCAGGGAGCAAAACGCCTGCAAAGAGCTGCCTGGAGACCTTCCACGCTTTCTACAGATCTTTATGGTAGCTGGCATTTGCTGTCCTGCAATTCACTAATGTGGACCTCCTATGGACCTCCAATTCACTAATGTGGACCCCTCCTCCCTCCTAAAGAGGTAAAAGATAAAGGACTACAAGATTTCTCACTAATGCAGGTAGACAGGTGGATACTGCTAGTGATGGCAGGAGGTGTAGCAGAAGAGGACGAGTAAGAACTGCGGTCAAGCGGCAAAAGATAAAAATCAGAAAACAATAAAAAGGGGTGTAGCCACAACTCCTTAAGAGCTGAGGACACAGATCCTTCCAGGAGCTCTGACTGGCTACCTGGCACCAAGGGCTTGCAGGTCGGGGGGTGGGGTGGGGGGAGGACAGACGGAGACTGGGCGGGACCGTGCACAAGCATGGAGGGCTCCCGCTGTGGACTGAGACTGGTCAGTAATAACATGAACCCTCTGAAGATGGGCCTCACGAGGCTACCGGCTTTGAAAATCATTTGCGAAAACTGGATTCACAAGGCAGCTGCAATTAGGATAAAGTTTGTCTTTAACCAAGTCAAAATCTGCCACTGTTTAATTTATAGTTATCTTAAATATGATTCCAAAACCAACAGAATCAGTGTGGTCCCCTGTGGGACCAGTGTTGAGATACCTGAGCAGGCATCAGGCAACCCCTGGGCAGGCTCCAGCACCCTTCACTCAACAGCTCTTTGGCAGAAAACACAAGGCTCTGCTCTTACCTTTTACATGTCCCTCATGAGGTGGGGCTACTTCCGTCTACTCCCACTCAGCGCTGGATCACCGGGAAATTTACAACCAAGGAAGTAAAGGGTAGCACTTAGCCTCTAGGCCAGGTTCTTGGTGATACAAACAGAAAAACTGGGAGATCTACTCTAAAGAAATGGTTCCACTCCGGGGTTTTTGGTGCTTATGTTGAGGGGCGGGGAGGTGGCGGCTATTGGCCTGGGGGCTGCAGTGGGTGCAGTGGGAAGAAAAGGGAGCGTAAGGAAAATGAAGCTCCTGCGACTTCACATCCACACCAAGCTGCTTGGGGACCTCTGTTACAGGCTCTCTGAGCTAAGAACAAGACAGTAGAGTGTGCAGCACAGTGGTGAGGAGCACAAGATGTGGAGTCACAGAAAGCTGGGTCCCCATCCGACCACAGCCAGCCACTAATGAGCTATGCGACAAGACCAAGTTAGTTACCTCTCTAAGCCTCGGCTTCCTTCCCTATAAAATGGAGCGAATACAACAGACCCTTATGAGGCTGGTGCAAAGATTAAATTAGATAACATATGTAAAGTACTTATTACAGTATCTGACAGAGTAAGCCCCCAAGGCAGGGGCAAGAAAAAAGAAGGAAGCTAAAAACTACTGAGCACTTACACTCCTCTCCTCCCAGCTGAAGCTGTATAAACATCATCAAATACAACTCAACTATGAGAACACATTGTATGACGATTTGGGTAGCAGATTTTATCTTCCACATTATGTTTTGCTTAGGCAAATGTCAAAAATGGGTTTCCACTTCCACAGCAGACAATGGTGGGGGGAGTGGAGTCAGGGCTGGCGGGCAGGAGCTCAGAAAAATACTCACCAGGGCAGGATGACAAACGTGTCACTTAACTCATTCATCTGTCCAATCCCAGGCCACACACGCATGGTGAGCACTACGTACAAATGTTTTTTTTCCTTTTCAAATTTTTATTCAAATTCTAGTTAACATATAGTGTAATATTGGTTTCAGGAGTAGAATTCAGTGATTTATCACTTATATACAACACCTAGTGCTCATCACAACAAGTGCCCTCCTTAATACCCATCACCCATTTAGCCCAGCCCCCACCTCCCTCCCTCCATGAACCCTCAGTTCTCTATCACTACGAGTCTCTTATGGTTTGCTTCCCTCTCTTTTTTTCTTCCCCTTCCCATATGTTCATCTGTTTTGTTTCTTAAATTCCACATATGAATAGAATTGTATGGTATTTAGCTTTCTCTGACTTATTTCGCTTAGCATAATACACTCTAGCTCCATCCCTGTCATTGCACATGGCAAGATTTCATTCTTTTTGACAAAACTATGTACAAACCTTATAGACCGGAGGAGTGTGGACACACGTATGCAGAAGCCTGGCAAGAGAGTGGTATGTGGCTGCTAACAATGCACACTGAGTACTTTCTCTGCTCCAGGCCTGTGCAGAGCATCACATGTGCATTATTCTATTGCCACCCTCAGAGCAACTGCAGTTTATGATTCCAGAAACCAAGGCTTAGATCAAGGTTTAGAGGCTTGCAAAAGCCAAAGAGCTTGTGAAGAGCAGAACCAGCATGTAAGCCCAAGTGCCTATGATGTCAAAGCCCATGTCTTAAGCCAAACATTTCAATGAGAAGAGGGGGAGAATTTTCCATGAAGCAGGGACAGAATGAGCAATGCCTTATTTAGGGGATCCCTAAGTACACCGATTAAGAAAGAAGGCTCTTAGAAATACAGGTTGGAGTTCCAAAGTTAGAGTCTACAACTGCCAGAGTTAAAGACTGTGAGATGTCAGTGGCATCTGGACTTACTTATAGATCGTGAGGCACCATCTAAGGACTTTATTAGACAGTATTCTAAAAATACTCATCTTTGCATACAATGGGCTAGAGTAACCATCTTAAATCAATGTAACTCTTTACATGCTGGTCATCTAGAAATGAAATCAGAGCAAGTAATGAAATACACTTCTAAGCGTGAGACAACAATCTGGTGCCACAGCAAAAAGTCAAAAAATGCTGAGGTTTCAGGGTTGACCAGCACCTCCTGGGATGATGAGAAACGAGGAATCAGCTAATTCCTGGAAGGTAACAGCATGCCTAGTTTTCAAAGAATTTAAAGTGAGAGTAGGGCACTCACAGGGAATGAATACTAAAAATTAAACTTCTTAATGTTAAAAAAGCTGTGTATTCTCACTTTATACAAAAATACATTTAGAGACAAGAGACAAGATAAACCAACCATCACAATACCATCAATCTCCTTATTAATGGAAGTTCACCAATTAAAGCTACAACAGTGTAAGCTCAGACACTGTCACTGTGCCTAAAATCTCTTCATTCCTTCTCCTGTCTTCCCTCTCTTCCCTTGGCATTTACTGACTCAGTGCCTACTATGGAGCAGGCATGTAGCTATACAGGTAGCAAGCATATGAGGTCCATAGTCTATGAAGGGAGATAGACATTAACCAACCAACCACAAATATAAATGCCCAACTACACACAAAGAAGTGCTCGACACATACCGTACCTATAAAAAAGGCTCACAACAGGTGAGGGAGGACTACGGGTACTGCTAAAGCCCGGTAAGAGGCTATGTGAGCTGGGGACACTTACCTAACCATGTTGCAATGAGGACAGCATCAATTCCATCTATTGGCTCACAGATCCGAGCCACGACTGGGTGGATCTGCTGAGCCAGGTAGTACTGGGTATCAATGGTTAAATTGTCCTGTTTCTGTAGCTGCTCAGGTGCATAGGCCCTCTGACTCGCAGTGAGGTTTGACCCATCCTACAAAAGGACACGGTATAGGTAAGGTTGTAGGAAATTCAGTCACACGTACACGGCTGGCCAAAAAGAGGGACAATAATTCAAACTTTATATGTTCAATTCCAAACACCAAGAAGTCCTTTTGACCCACTGGTGAACATTTCATATGTAAGAGCAGGAAGATCAAGGAAAACATGTCACCCCCACTGTCCAAGAATGTAAATCCAACATGTGTTGTGTTCTATTTTTTGTTGAAACATGAAACCAACAAGATGGCATGACTAGATTAAATAATTCCACCTGCCATATCATAGAAGCACACTGAGAAGACTTGCTAAACTATTAGTCTAGTCAGAAAGGCCTTTTAGGAGTGATAAGAAAAAACATGTGTGGTCCTTTTATTGTTAATACAATCCCTTCATGCAAAAACTCTAGTCATAATCTCATCTTTAAGGCCCCCAGGGTTATATTTTCTATGAGAGCTTTATGTATCAAGAAGCAAATGAGCAAGGAGAAAAGAAAGGGGTATGAAATCCACAGAGGAGTAACTTATATACAAGATATAATAGACGGGAGTAAAATTAATGAGCTATCCTGGTGGAGTGGCAATGCTCTAGAAGCAAAATACTTGGCACTGGAATGAAGGGCATACCATTTTGCACTGTTTACATGGCTCTCCTCAAGGAAAGAAAGATGGGTCGGAGAGTATCTTTTCAAAGGTTTCCTCTTAATAAAAATAAAAGTTGTGTAATTCTACGTAAGTGGTCCATATACAGCCCTGTGTGTGAGGTCACCATCATCTGTGAATCAAAAAAAGTCATCACACTACTGGACCAACATCTGACAACTCACTCCACTCCTCTTTTCTACAACAAAATTTAATATTCAGACTAGTCAATTTTAACTATTCACAGTGCTAAGCTGCTCTGCAAAATAGACAACACGAACCCTATTCTTCCATTCCTGCTACAATCAGCTCCTTCTCAGCTCAGCGTCCAGCCCAAAGCAGAGGCTACTTGCACAGCACTGTCTTTAGACTGGAGGCAGGGGCCTCTTTCTCTGGCAAGGCTCTTGATGGAAACAAACTGGAATGTTTATCAACTAGGTTCTACATAGTCTAGGATATAAGGAAATACTCAGACAGAAAGCAAACCTCGGATTAAAAGACTTGCCAAATAATTTTTTTTTCAGGAGTTCACAACACGGTAAAAGAAACCGGGCAGAATTCATCACCTTTAATTGTTGCCCTTTGCGAAGTCTGAATTATTAGATAAGAGTAAGATGACAGCCAATGACAAAGAGTGTGAAACATTCCTGGGCAGCGCCTTTACGCACTACAACTATATTCAGACTGACTTAACTAACACCTGAAACCTGATCAATTTACAGAATTGTATTTAAAAAAAAAAACAAAACAAAACTGGTCTGTCCTTAAGATTACAGCAATACTGAGGGGCACCTGGGTGGCTCAGTCAGTTGAGCATTCGAATCTTGATTTCAACTCAAGTCATGATCTCAAGGGCAGGAGATCGAGCCCTGCATTGGGCTCTGCGCTGGGTGTACAGCCTACTTGAGATTCTCTTTTTTTTTTTTTTTTAAAGATTTTATTTATGTATTTGACAGAGAAAGACACAGCGAGAGAAGGAACACAAGCAGGGGGAGTGGAAGAGGGAGAAGCAGGCTTCCTGACGATCAGGGATCCCGATGTGGGGCTTGATCCCAGGACCCTGGGATCACGACCTGAGCCGAAGGCAGACGCTCAACGACTGAGCCACCCAGGCGCCTCTCTCTGACCCCCCCTTAGAAAAATAAAGATTATATAGCAATGTTAAGTTTGCCACTTTTTAATGGTGAATAAAAATCAAATTTATACAGGGGTGCCTGGGTGGCTCACTCGGTTAAGCATCTGCCTTTGGCTCAAGTCATGATCTCAGAGTCCTGGGATCGAGCCCCCTGTCGGGCTCCCTGCTCAGCAGGGAGTCTGCTTCTCTCTCCCTCTTCCCCTCCCTCTAACTCATGCTTGCTCGCTCACTCTCTCTCAAATAAATAAAATCTTTTAAAAAAAATCAAATTTTCTACAGGCAATTTTTCTTTAAAGGCATGTGAGTTACTTTCCAATATATCATTAGAAGATGTTCTCACAGTAAGTCAAATTTTTTAAAAAAGCAGTTGAAAATTTCTAAGCATATTCTCAGTTAAGAAAGTTTTTATTTTAAATAACCACATGAAGGACCAGCTTTAACACTGACCCAAACATATTTCTTACTGCATTTAAAAAATCTGAATCCAAACATGACTAAATTCAAAAGAATTGGTAAGACAGGTTTTGCTGTGTTGTGTTGGGAAAACATTCAGGCCGTGACATAAGATATATCCCTCACAGACCTAATTCTAAAACTTAGCAAGATCCCATGGTATATGCAATAACACGTGGCATACACCTTTAAAACCAGATTAAGAAGCAATGTTGGTCTCCCCCTCCGATTTCTTCCTGCTATCTTCTTCTTCTTTCTTTTTTTTAGCATATAATGTATTATTTGTTTCAGAGGTACAGGTCTGTGATTCAACAGTCGTAATGTACGGTGATTAACATAACAATAAAAAATCAAAAACAAAAAATAAATAAAAATAAAGTTTTTAGTTGTACAGCATAGGAAAGATAGCCAATGGTATTGTCATAGCTTTGTATGGTGACAGATCAGAGCCACACTTAGAGTGTGCATAGCATATCGAACAGACTTGTCACATCACTATATTGTACACCTGAAACTAATGTAACACTGTGTATTAATTACATTTCAATTAAAAAAATACTATTCTAAAAAAAAAAAAGGAAGCAATGTTGGCCTTCCTTGAAGTGTCTATGTAGTAATTTGTGAACTTCACAAAGTACAAACTTCACAGAGACAACCAGGTACAGTCAATTCATTCAAAACTATGTCGTCATCTTTAGTAGGAAACTAACTGAAAAAAGTTATTTAAATGGGTGACAAGTGGACCCCTTAAAACAATTATGTTAAAGGCATGCCTTATGGAAATTATGTCTAATGAAAGTTAAATAATTGAGGATTTAAAACTTAACCAACAAGTGGAACTTGATTTAAGATCTCAGCAAATAATTCACGTACGTTTTACAAGGTAACAAACTACAATATAAATCCGACACCAAAAACATTACTCTCTGAACTCATCTGAATTTATAGTCAGAGTAACTATCAGTAGCGTACTACAGTCTAAATATAAATTTCAAACAAAACAGAACCTGTCTAGGAGACCTACTATTCGTGGAGGGCACCTTTGCTTAGAGCAGTATAGTTCTCTTCAAAGTATATCATCATATGTTTTCAAAAAGATATTCTAAAAATATGGTTGTGTTAAGAAACAGAATAATTTGAGTGCTTAAAAGCAAAAGAGGTAGGGAGCTTTGGCTCACAAACATGCTCAAAGTGGGCCTGACCCACTGCTAGGGAACAGAGGCAAATTAAAGTCCTACAGCTTTTCCTGGCATACAATGAGAAGCATAAACAAAAAGAAACATGGACTGTAGTTTTAATAAGCAAGAAAGTTAAGGCCCAGCACCAGTGGATGGGGAAAATGTTGAAAATACATGAAATTGGATTTACTGTACTATATCAGCATCAGCATTTTTGAGCTTTTCTAGCTCAATAAGACCTAGGAAAAAGAAATCATATGACCCAATATCTAGACATCAATGAACATAACCTTGACTTTTATTTAAATCTATCAATCATACTACCATACATCTCCATTCCAGATTTAGCCAAAATATAATTGTGACTGGATTTCATTATTAGATGTTATTTCATGGAACCTATGTAATTTTTTGAAGCTATATAGCCATCTGCTCCTGTCATTAATAATCTAAGAGCTTTTCCATGTATGTGAAGTCATAAGTGAAAAAAAACTAGCCTATTTACCAAAATCTTTATTTGCATAATATGAAAATTGTTTTTTTGAGATGAGACTTGTCAGAGGCAATATGCAAAGCACATTAAGGGCTTGAGCGAGTCAGACATTTATGGAAATATTTTCCTGCAGGAATTGGCTTTCTGTAACAGTTCTTAATCAAGGGTAACCCTAGGAGGGAGACGGAGTCAAGTGCTGATTCCTGTCCATGTACTTAAATCATTTGTTATGTACATCATCCACAGCACTGAGCAGATATTAGCAGATAATTTTTAAATTCTAAAAGACTCTATGATTTAAAAACACACTGACTGTAGTTTGACAAAGATCAATCATAATGCAATGAAATTTAAGGCTTATCTAATTTTTTTACTGTAATAACAAAATGCAACAATTAATTAATTAAAAAGAAAGTCTTATAACAGACGAATTATGCCTTTTGGTAAGTATACCACACCACAGTAATTTTAAAGAATTTCGAAAAAGGCTGTGACTTTTTCTTTTTTTTTTTCCAAAAGGAAGAGATGAGACCTCTCCTTTGCTCCAACTGGAGTTAAGTGCTTTCAAAGAAAAAAACTGCTCTTGTGTCCCACCCTCTCTCCTCATCCCTGTCAAGAGGCACACTACTCTCCAAAGAAACTGGTTAGTGGTTTAAACCTATGTTCCAGAAAGGGTAGAGGTTCCTCAGAGATGCCACATGGAAGAGGGAGAAGGCAAGGAGGTGGGTTCTAGGCCCCCTCCACTCAAAATACAACAAACAAACAAACTGGTGAGATCATTTGTGTTTTCCTCCTAAGGTATGTTTTTGGGGTCTCGCACCCTTCTCCATATCATCAAGCACTTCATATTCTTTTCAAGTAACTCTGTGAACATAAGCTAGGGAAAAATGTATTTACTCTCTTATTCTAAGTATTCATAATAGAATCTGTGGCAAAAGGAATGATGATGGACTGCTGCTGGACATATGACCAAACCTATACATAGTTTTACTGAAGTTAATTTAGGGTTGAAACAGCACCTACTGTTATGCACCTGTCTCACCAAAACAATTTCAGTGAACCAGGACACTGGTCTTAAATATTTTTTGAAAATTTTAATAAAATATGCCATAGCTCTAATACTTCAAATGTTATAAAAACAACCAGAATAACCCATCTCTTCATACCATCAATTATTTGGAAGACCATTAAATAAGACACTGTGGTGATATGAGTTTTACTTTGGGTTATGGGGTCCAGGAGTCTTATTAATAGCCTCAGTTTTACCTGACAGATGACATATGACACGGTATCTCCAGCTTTCACCTTTCTGCCCCCTTGAGAATTCATCCAGAGGGCAACATGTACATGAGGTAGGCTTTTTTTATCAGGGTAATCCTGGGGATCCTTTGTCAATGCCTAAAAGAAGAAACAAAAAGCCCCAAACTTTAAATCTCTTCTCACACAGATATACACTAAACACATCTTTCCTAGAATTCTATCTGCCACATAAACATAAAAAGAACAGAAGCTATAGGTAGAAAACAGTGCTGCAGTCTTTAGACATTCCATCCTCAAGGTTCCTCCCTCCTTCACTTACTAACTAATATAACCAGATGCAACTCTGGCAAAAAAGAAATAGAAGTTTATGGGCCATGGCATGTAATACTTGCATATAAAAAAAAATTAAGACTACAAATTCAGTTTTCTATCAAGCCTTTAGAGTTTCTCTTAATGTCTGCAATTCCCTCACTGAATTAAGTGGTTAGTAAAGACTGATGGAGATCGGCTACTCTGACTTAATGATCTGTTTCTCGAAGGCTCCTCTAGCCTAAATAAATCTCAAAGATACCAGAAATCGGTGGATTTATTCACACTGTCAATTTAAGCTCTACAAAGGCAGAAAGAATGAGTTTCTAAGAGAAAGTAAGCCCCATGAGAGCAGGAACATGTCAGCCTTGCTTGCCGCTGCATTCAGTGCTCAAAACAATTCTTGGCGTACAGTAGCAACCAAATGCTTGCAGAATTACTTCGCTCACTCTGCAATAATTCACTAAGTTCAAGCACTGTAAAGTACTGTGAGATGAGTAAGACAGTCATTGGTCCTAAGTCATCTGCTATTAGTAGACGATTCCTCATTCTGCGAATAAAATCTCTAAAATAAGCCACATGTGCCATAAGGGAGATGTGAACAGTGTGAGGGAGAGGGTTTAGAGAGGCAAAGATCACTTCCATTTGAGAGCAGAAATCTTAGAAAAAAATTTGAGCTGGCATGTGAAGAAAAAGAGGATTTTAAGAAAAGGTGACAGGAGCAAGAACATTCTGGGCAGAGATAAAAGCAAAAGTTAAAAGCAATAGGTAACACAAAATACAGTCCATCAGAATGGAATTCAGTATGCACAAAGGGTAGGAGGGAGACATCAAGCTCTGTGGTGGGTTTCAAAAGACAAGAGGAGGGGCGCCTGGGTGGCTCAGTTGTTAAGCGTCTGCCTTCGGCTCGGGTCGTGGTCCCAGGGTCCTGGGATGGAGCCCTGCATCAGGCTCCCTGCTTGGTGGGAAGCCTGCTTCTCCCTCTCCCACTCCCCCTGCTTGTGTTCCTTCTCTTGCTGTGTCTCTCTCTGTCACATAAATAAATAAAATCTTAAAAAAGAAAAGAAAACAAGAAGCACTTAAAAAAAAAAAAAGATAAGAGGAAGGGCTGGGGACAGGGCACCCCATGACTAGACCACCTCAACATGGTCTGCAGACCGCTGGGGGTTCCAGATAGCCTTTCAGGGAGTCGAGAGGTCAACATTATCATCCTAACAATAATGTTTGCACTGGTGATGCAGAGGCAATGGTAGGTAAAGGTTCTGATGCCTCATAAACACGAATCAGGGCAGCCACACCGAACTGTGCTACCACTTGTATTCTTCACCACCACACACTCAAGAGTCTCTCTCTCTCACACACACACATGCCAGTTTCATTAAAGAATGCCCTTCATGGAAGAGCAAACGTTACTAGTTTTTTTAAGCTCCTGACCCTTAACAGAAGGCTAGTATTTTATGTGACAAAATAAGAAGTACGCACAGGCATGTCTACTGTATACTGAAGAATGAAGGTTGCTCGAGGAAAAGCACTTGTGCAACTCTTCAGAGTTGCAAGCTAAACTAGCTGCCTTGTTCATAGAACAAAATTCTTCCGTGCAAGGATGACAGGCCAGCTACTGCTATTCAAACATGGGTCTCTGGCAGACAATTTCTCAAAAAAGAATGGAGTGAGCCTGCAACTTCAAGAATAACAACCGGCAGTACGTCTTGCCTACGATAAAATTCAACCTTTCAAGCACAAATTAGAATTTTGGAAAACTTGTTTGCATTTGTGTGAGCTTGACCGTTTCTCAATACTTAAAGACATTTCTGATGATATAGGCAGGAATATTTCAAAATGTGATTTTTGATAATATACAATGAAATGCGTCAATATTTGGAAGATCTGTAAAACCCAGGAGACTATCATTTCACAATTGACCAAAGTATTATAATATCATGCATCAGTAAAATATCTACTTCAAGTACAAGAGAGACCAACAGATTTTCATGTGAGAATATGAAAAGTTCACTGATAAGGTTTTAGATTTCCACATTACAATAATCTTTATGAAAATGCCACTTAGATAATACTGGTGTAGAAACAAAGAATATACAAATATCCAGAAAAAGTCCTGAAATATTTCTTTTTCCTACTATGTATTTGTGTGAAAATGGATTTTCTTCCTATACTTCAACCAAAACCACACATCACAACAGACTGGATACTCAAGCAGATATGAGAAGTCAGATGTCTTCTACCAAACTAGACATTACAGAGATGTGCAAAATTTTAAAATGATGTCACTCCTCCGGCTAATTTTTCTTTGTTTTGAAATATATAGCTACTTTTCAAGGAAAAATGTTATTTTTATAATCACATACTGGGTTTATTGCTATTTTTAAACAAATACATAAATGCTTTAAGAGTTTCTCAGTTTTAATTTCTAACAGTAAATATTAACACAGGCCATGTAAACAAAAGCTCTTACAGTCCTCAATTATTTTAAGAGTGTGCAAGTGTCCTGAGACCAGGAAATGTGAGAACTGCCGGAGCAGAATAAAGCAGGTCTTCCAACATGGCTGCACATACCCATGTCATGTCCACTTTCTAAATCATACACTCAAGTGTAGGAGAGTGCCTAGGAAATGCTCCAAGTATCTGAATCTCCTCTAACCTGCATTATGCAGAGTCTTGATTGACTTGAACGGGTAATACTGCATAGAAATCTTAATCAATAGAACTCTACTTAAAAAAACCATTATCTTCTTCAATTGACTATACTTCAGAGCAATATTAAGAAATTCTGAATTTCATGTGACATACTTTCCAGTTATTAGATTGGGGCTATTTGGGGATCTTACAAGCTAGTTTTAGAAGGCTTGATTTGAAAAAAAAAAAATGCTTCCTGGTGGTTAAGGCTCAAGTTAACCAGGGCTATACAAATCAGCTGTGAAGTACTTTGTGTTACTTTATGAAAAATATCTAGGCTAAGATTGCGGTAATTCAGAAAATCACACATGATGTTTTTCAGTTGTTTTTAACAACAAGGGCTAAAATCTCTAGAAAGGCAAATCTCACCACTTTACCCCTCCACCCTAGGCTAGCCTCCTATTTTCAATCCCTCCCAAGATCACAAAAATATCCGTAACTACAGATATACAGATATTCTGTCATAAGATCATCCACAACCAGTGACATAGACTCTTCCATTCCACTTTCCTTTGAAAGAGATGAAATGTAAAAACTGAATGGCTCACAAGTTTTAAACATTGCAAGTATTCAGACAGATGTTGATCAAGACACATCACCTTTGACATAAATAGCTTGCTGTAAACAGACTTAGGAATAACTATGATATAGATAGTCCTTTCATCAGAATTCACTGCACGTCTGTCAACACTGCAGAAATCCGTTTTCTTCATTTAAAAAAAAAGTATAAAAATATGGGACAGGAAATATCTTTGAAAGACCATTTCCATCTTGTAAACATGGACCATGCTTTGCTTATTCAACTTTATATCCCAGGATGTAGCACTGTGCACACACATTGATGAATGGAAGAGTAGGAAATCAAGTGAATTCTTTTAATATTCACTGAACAACTGTTATTTGCCAGCTACTATATCAAGGGAAATGGAGAAGAAAAAGACAATAAGTCACAATTTTAGCTCTGCCACAGAGAATGAAGGCACAGCCCTAATCACATTAAGTATTACTATTATTATGAATAATAATGTCACTATAAATTGATAACTAGTGAAGCTGAATGATGATACATGGGGATTCATAATACTATTCTCTACGTTTGTATGTAAGTTTAACAATTTCGATAGTAAAAACCTCAGGATAACAAGACTGCAGACCGTTCACGAGCACTCGGAGACTACCAGTGCATCCGGGACTCCAGTTTCTTTGCGTACTAGTCATACTGTGTCATCATTCCTATAAGAAGATGAGTGTGGGCGCAGTGTTCTTCTGCCAATAATGTGGTCATGTTTGGATTCAGCCTTCCAAACTTCTGACTGGAACCCCTTGGGATAGAGGGTCCACATTTCTAAGAAGGTAGATCGTGTCAGGGATACAATCTGTACAATCAATGCAAAAATTGATCAAAGGAAGACTGAAGTCATAACAACTCCTACTCATGCACATTTCTGAGACAGACCAAACAAAATCTGAAGGGAAATCGCTTTTGAGATGTCACAGGTGATGCCATGCCAATGGATAAACACTGCATCACTTCAAGTGAAGAGCTAGTGCCAAAGCACATGGCCTCTTACAATATTTGCTTCTATTTTTTTGTACTTCCATGTAGAAATGAATGTCTTTTTTTGTGACATTAAAGACATTACGGTTAAGGTGTAGGAAACAAATGACTCACTTAAGAGTAAATACTAATCCTAAGGATATGCATAGAAAATATTCATCTTCTCTAAAAACCAAAGAAATGTAAATTAAATGCAACAGTGAGACACTTTCACATTATGATAGCACTATTTTATTTAAAGATCACCAATGAACTATCACCAATACAAGCAAATCTGTGGTGAACCTGGCACACACATTTTGTTCTTACCAAAGCAATTTGGTAAGAGCCATCCAGATATTCGCATCTTTCGACTCAAGTAATTCACTTCAAGGAACCTAAACTAAGAAAATAATTCATCCAAAAGCAAAAAGATTAAGATAGAAAGATGTTCAATACAGTTATTTCCAGTATCCAAAATAATGTAAATAATCAAACAGAACTTTTAATATATCAGTGAAATATAAGATTAACACGATCTTTTTTAATATAGAAATGTGAAACAATCTGTTTATGTCAAATAAAAACAGATTTCAACATAATATATATTGTAATTGCTTCAGTGTAAAAATAAAATAAAATAAAAGAGTAAGGAATGGTGCAAAAATGACAAGCATCACTTTAGCACAGGGGTATCATGAATGAGTCTTAACTCTGTCTTCTATTTAATGTCATCATTAGATTCTTTTTCATTAAAATTCCTTTTTTGTATCAGCTTTGACAACGGAATCTATTTATCACAAAATGGGTAAAATGGTATTCGCAAAATTAGCTTCTGAATATGTAAGGGTACTCTTTTTAAATGGGGGGAAAAAAGGAAATCTGCAACCTAACATCTTATATTACACAGCACTTTGGAAACCAAGGTTTTATTTTTCAAATCAGGTAAGGAAAAATATTCCTCATTTTCAACAACTAAGACTGTCCATAAAGTCTAAATTACATAGTTGAAAAATATAATAAAAGCACAAGTGCTCTGGCTACAAAGAAAATGCTATTGCCATCTTAATTCTAAAGAACTATCTATGTCCAAAAAAAGCATTCTGATTACAGTACCTCTAAGGATCACCTTCTGTGAAAGACAAAGACACACACACACACACACACACACACACACACACACACGGTCTGTCTGTCTCCATCTTTCTCTAAGCTTACAGGCCTGTCCTCCCAAACAACTATAAATGAGGAGGACTATGGAGAAGGTTAATATTTTCTAGTCCCCTAAACATCAACTACATCACTCCACAGAATCTCTGGAAATGAGGCTTCCATCAAGTAAGAAATGCAGAGAGAAGGCCCCTGTGGCTGACAGGGCAGCACCAGTGGCTGGAAGAGGAAGAGTGGTATGCTAACACTCCATCCGTGAGTTAGTTGTTAAGCAGCTTTCATCACCAGCTAGAATTTATTTCGATTGCAAGGATGAGGTGGTTCTTCAACTAGCTGAAGGAGGTGAAAAACACATGGCAGCAGCTGGGCTCAGCAATAAATGCTACATTTACCTTGTTAATTTCAAACTGGCTCACTGGGACACTGCCATTTAGCACATTTTCTCCAATTTCTATTAACCTCTTCTGAATGTTTTCCACTATAGTGTCTCGGCTTTGATCAGAAAGAATCTGGCCAATGACAAAGCTGCAAAGGAAGAGAGGGATTCATTTTTTTAATATTATACTTTATTAATAAAGGAGAGAAAAGGAAGATAAATGCCATTAGATTAACATGTGGACAAGAGCTGTACTGAAAGCTAACATGAGGGTGAATGTCCAAAAGGCCGTTACTATTTGTTTTTTAACATTAACTCTACCAAAGGTTTACCAACCTTGGAATGTCAGGTTTGCCCTTAAACATACAGACCATTTTCTAATGCAGCAGCTAATGCTTCATACAAAATGTGGACAGAGAAAGGTATGTGTTCCATCCACAACTGTATATATGCAATTACAAAATTCACAAGCAGTTATACTCTACTCATAGGTTAAAATTTAAAAGACAAAAATTTCACTTTCCCCATAAAGCACCAAGATATCACCTCTGATATCACCAAACTGAGATGACCATTAGCTAGGTAAGCAGAAATATAGTTCTTTATGCAAATTTTTTAAAACCCGAAGATTTCAAATTTCTTTCTTCAGCTTCATTATATTCCTCAGTGTTCTCCAACCTTATGCTATCCCTGAAAAACTTATTATTCTACTAGACCCCCTCAAAAAACAAGGGAAAAAAGAAAAAGGAGTAAGGAAGCCAATATTTTATCCATTTCTGAGAAAATGCAGAGCGAGGGTTTGACAGCTGCATTATAATTTGTCAGAAAAAGAACCCTGACAAAAACATTTGTATAGCTTTAATTACTAATACATTTCTAACTCAGAGAAATTTACTTCTATTATGATGCATCTTTTCTTAGAAAACACAAAGCTGAAGAGAACACTCTAATCGACAGTCTATACAAAGTAGTTTCATCTTTGGGTACATTTGGGGGCAATGAAGCATTTCAAACTTCATTTCATAAAAGGCTAACAGTGACCTATAGTCGGATGATCAACTTTGCCTAATCAAGAGTGGTTTTGCAGAAGCAACAATTGCTCAATCTCCCAACTTGAAAGCAAGAGGACTGGAAAACAAGTAAAAAGTGTGAATATTTGGCAATATTAAAATTAATTTAAATTTTGCTTTAAAGAAAAAAATTCTTCTATTTTCAGAATTGGGCAGGTTCATCAGACAGGAATATCTAAAATGATGGTACATTAAATACCTAAGAATTCAGGCTTTTCTAAATGGATGCTTTATAAATTAATGTGACCCTTTAAAAAAAAAAAACAGGCCTTAGTATCACAATTTCCAGTCTCAGATGCAAAGCTAAAGGATCAGCCATGACATTTATTATTTCTGAGGTACTTATGGTATTTGAAAACTAGCTCTTAAATTAATCTAAGATTAGTAAGAATCTTATTTTTTTTCTTTTTCCTAGAGATTCATAAGAATCTTTACACACAAATGATATGGATGGGAACAAAGTCTCAGTCCATGGTCCACTATGAATCCCAGAATATTTAAGCTACAACATGGGAACACCTTAACAATTATGTTCCTAAAGAGGCTCTACAACGATTCAGGAACACAACACAAGGCACTTTCTAATTAGACTATGAAAGCAAAACAAAACAGACACAAGCCAACATCAACGGAAACCAACTCTGTAGGGAGCTAAAATGTGAAGGTTCACCCTCACTGTGAGTTACAACTCCTAAGATGTATCTTACAGAAAGTACCTCTTACTGAGCAAATTTAGCTTTTGCTAAGTTTTAATCTACCTGGGAAATTCCACTCCAAATAAGTGAGAAGCATTAATATGTAACAACAACAACAAAAGAAGTTGTGTCCTTGGGCTTGGCAGAATCACAGATCTTCTCCATGTCATTAATACTCCAGGTTTTTACAGACAAACAAAAAAAGCAAAAATGAAAGCTGAACTCACTTTCCAGTTTCTTTAGCAAGATCACACCAATCTCTTCTAACTATATCTAACCCTTTCAGCTCCTGTTTGGTGGAGTAATTCCCATCCGACGTTGGCTCAACAACCAGAGCACCATACTTCTTTTTCTTCAGCAGTAGCAGAGACTTGAAAACACCATCAATGTCTATTTCAAGCAGTTTGTACAACTTGTTCACTTCACTTTTTACCTGTGAAAATTTCAAGCATTAATACTAGCTTCTCAAACATCTACCAGGGAGAAGATGAACATGCTACAAATTTCCAAGAGTTAATCTAAACAGAACTTGAATTCACACAAGATTAGAATGCATTTACTCAGGTGATATACAAAACAGTATTATGTTGAGTATGATGCAAAACCACAGAAAGAGCACAGGGACAAAAACAGATTGAAAAAAAAAAAAAACACAGTAATATAAATATATCATCCCATTCAACCAAAGGACAGAATTGGGAGGTCCGCCCCGAGAAATTTACAAAAATTATGAAATAGTCTTTTTGAATCTAAAAACTAAATGCTTATATACTTACCTCCAAACTACTGGATTAGAGATTAGATAGTCCAACAAGTAGATACATGGCTAGAAATAAGTAAAACTTTGACTATTAAAATAATGTCTAAGGGGTGCCTGGGTGGCTCAGTTGGTTGAGTGTCTGACTCTTGGTTTTGGCTCAGGTCATGATCTCAGGGTCGTGGGATGGAGCTCCACATCAGGCTCTGCACTCAGTGCAAGAGTGTGCTTGAGATTCTCTCTCTCTCTCTCGCCCCTTCTGCCCCTCCCAAAATTCATAAGAATCTTTACACTCTCAAATAAATAAATCTCTCAAAATAAAAATAAATAATATATCTCTCTCAAATAAGTAAGTAAAATCTTTAAAAAATATTTAAGATCTCCCTGTACCTCCCAAAGCACCTTACGTATAAGGAAATACCTATATGTTGAAGAAAAAATGACCAGGCACCTGCTCTTTATTGATAGGATCAAGGCACAGCCAATCACCTCTAGGGAAAATACACAGCTTTTTGAAGTCCAATATGAGGACAATAGGCCAGGCCTGTTCTCAGGTGAAGCCTACAGGTCAAATTTCACACATATTAGTGGAGAAAGGCAGGAAGTTGTTACTTTCTAAGATGTTATCTTAGTTCTATTACTGGGATAAGATCTTAACATAGCAAGTACTCAAGAAACACTTGCTAATTGTAAACTGCAATTAGGAGGCAACAAATGATTACTCATAAATCATAAATGTGTGTACATGTATGTACATAGGTATTTATCCATATCAGCTTATAAAACCCATCTGAATACTACTAGAGATATATTTTTCCTCATGTATGATAATGTGATAAGTATAAATATGATATTTTATTTTTAAAAGATTTTATTTATTTGGGGGGGAACAGCATGAGTGGGGGTGGGGGGTGGGGAAGGGGAGAGGGAGAAGCAGACTCCCCACGGAGCAGGGAGCCTGACTCGGGGCTCGATCCCAGGACCCCAGGATCATGACCTGAGCCCAAGGCAGACGCTTAACGACTGAGCCACCCAGGTGCTCCTATATTTTAAATTTAATTTTTTTTTTTGCTTTCTTCTTTTATCAGAAAGTAGACACAGGGTATATCACAGGATGTGAAGCAGTGTGAACCCCCTGGCAAGACCCAGAACAGCAGCAGCCAGAGTCAAAGATACCACTGTAGTCAGGCTTAAGCCCAACATCACAGAAGTGTGAGAACATCACAGTCACCAGCCTTAGAAACAAGATGAAAACATCTCACACTGTTTTCAAAGTAAAAATGTATTTATCATTTAAGGAAAAAAATACTCTCTTTTGAATTTTACCGTTAAAAACAAACAGTTGGAGTAGAGGTTAAGAAAAATAAGAGGATGAGGAAATGAGAAGTACTGTTTATTATTTTCAGAAGCACACATGTACACATATATGAATTTATAAAGTTCCATGTTAAAAAAATTCACAAAAGTAGGTAAAACAGATAATTTCATCAAATTATCTCACCTTGTTTCCCAATTTATATACTTCTTCCAGATCAGTGCTGTTGGTGTTTATCATAATTGAATCTGTATCTCCATAAATAACTTCAAGATTCATCTAATAAAAAGCAAAAATTATAAAATTTAACAACAAAAACACAGTGATCATCATATACAATGAAACTCAAGATTTTCTATACTGCAGAAATTACAGGTTCCATTGATTTTTCAGAAGTTTATGTTTATTCTTATCCATATTGTCAGAGGAGTACAATCAAAGATTAAGCTCCAATAAACTAGAAAGGAAAGCCACTGTCACATTAAGAAAATCGAGCTAATTTTCTTAAAACAAATAGACAGCAGAGTGGCAGGGGAAATGTCTAGTTTTCAACTGAAACAAACTGTGGAACTGAATAATATAAAGGAGGATAAGAAACTAGGAAAGGGGGTGTCTATACTTATCCACTGTACCATAAGCTTAGTGGTCATGGCAATTTATAAAGCAGAAACATAATGCGTTTTTAAAATTCAGGGGCACAAATCCATATGAAATTCTTCACAGTTTCAAACAGTATTCAGTAGAATATGAAGAACGCCAAAAAAAAAATCAATCGTAACAAACAACACTAGAGCACATACAGTATAAAGGCCTGGAAGTAAACTCTAATTAGCACTGTTACTAATTTGCTTGAAACACTCACATATAGGCTTCAAGCAGCGGCTAGATCATATCAGTGTTAGTAAAAGAAAAAAGCTATAATCCATTAGGAGGGATTATAAACGTAAACTAGGCATCCTAAGAAGCCATTTCCAGTCTGTTTGGGTCACAATTTTCCTTGAATACAAAAACGTCACGAGGTATGCTATTTAAGAGTCATTGTATAATGAAAATGCTCAGCATTACCTTCTGTACCATCTCCTTTGTATGCATCAAAATCTAAATGAAAGAAAAAGTCAAGATTAATGCATTACATAGTTACAAAACCATAAACATAAGTACATAGAGACAGATAACCCAATGACTGGTCATACATTTTAAAGCTCTTCATGGTTTTCTAACTACAAACCTCAAAATAACAGTAATATCAACATAATCTAAAAGTAAGTTGGCCTCTACATTGATTCTTAGCCAGAGATACGTAAGTAGCTCTACATAAATATCTATTTAAGATTTATGTAAAGATCTATTTTTAATAAACATGCATAATAAAAACATCCCTTTATTATATGGCAAAAAGGCAAACTCTTCTCATTACTAATATTTAAAAAGAACTGCATGGCTGAAAAACAAAAGCTTAATAGCATTTCAAATCTGGCAATTCTTACCCATGGTATTCAAAATCTTAAAAAGTGAAAAAAATAAATATATATGCAGTAGATTTAAATTTCTTCTCAAGACTGTAGATTTCCTGAAGGCAGAGAGTAGACCTTCACATATTCTCTGGAGCTAGCACAGTGCCCAGTACAAAGGTGGGGCTCAATAAATATTCAGTGAATGGAGACAAACATCTAGATAATATGTGTAGACAGGACTGCCCCTAGACCCATATAGCCGCAGACTGGAGACATGTATTACAGAGTCCTGTAAATCCTGAACTTAGATTATCTTTTACATCTACCCCTTACTTTCCATTTCCACTGCTTCCTCTCCTTTATTACAGGCTCCTCATTTTGTTCAGGCATTCGCTGTCCTATGTTCTTAGAGAAGAAAGCCCTTCCCTTGTCCTGGGGGTGGTGAGTGGTGGTGAATATGGATTAGGGCAATCAATGGTTTTTTTTTTTTTTTAAAGATTTACTTATTTATTTATTTGAGAAAGAGAGAGAGAGAGAACAAGCAGAGGGAAGAGGCAGAGGGAGAGGGAGAGGGAGAGGGAGAAGCAGGCTCCCCGCAGAGCAGGGAGCCCAATGTGGGGCTCGATCCAGGACTCCGGGTCATGACCTGAGCCAAAGGCAGATGCTTAACCGACTGAGCCACCTTAATCAATGGTTTTAATAGTGGCAGTAGACTGGAATCACCTGGGGAATCTTTAAAAAAAAAAAAATACCAATACCGGCCCCGGCAATTGTTTGAAAAAGCTCTCCCAATATTTATGTTGCAGGCAGGGCTAAGGACCAATGGCCCAAGACAATCATGACAATGCCATTCTGAAAACGGTTTTCAGTTGACAGTCTGTCCCCTTCCCAACTAGACCACAAGCTCCTGGAGGCCAGAGCACATGTTTGTGCCTAACTCCAGGCTTCACATGTGACAGGTGCTCAAAAAACCATTTGTTAGTTGACTGATGGGTCTTATAGTAATCCCAATTACTTTCCTGAAATTCAGTTAACTCCTAAAAAACATTCACTCTCCTCCACTTCATCTTCACTTTTAAACATCTCAATTGCAGGGAAATGCATTGTGGGAGACTATCTGACAATTCCTTCGGGAAGAGGGCAATAATGAGATCAACCAAGATAATCACAGTGAGGACAGAACTACTCATCACAAGTCCTCCTCACCCTCCCCCCTTCCACCCCACCAGGCTTCACCTTCCTCATCACAACAGACAACTCCACAAGGTAACCATTACTAAGTAAAATACCTCAGACGCAGCCTGTCAACCTTTCACTGCAACTCAGCAATATGCAGGAACCAATTTCCTCTACTCTTCTTTCACACCATGAACGAAACCTTATGTCACCCTTGAGTGTACCTCCAATGTGTACTGGCAACCTTCAGCTTTCAGATCTACCACCCGCCTCTATTCTCTCCTGCCACCAACTCACAACCATTTCCACACACAACCTGAGGGCTGCTACCAAAATGATTTTCTCTTTGACAGCAGAAACCTGGTGTTGCATCTTTTGCACAAAAATGGTAGAAAATGAAGCAAAACATAAAGACTATACTGCAACTGCTTTTTTCCACCTAATACTTTATCTTAGAGATTATTTCCTATCTACACACACAGAGCTGCCTTATTCTTTTTTAATGGCTATACAGTATTCCATTGTGTGAATCGATCATGATATATTTAACCAGTGTTATAGTAATAAACATGTAGGTTGTTTCTGATCTTTGCCTTTAAAACCACACTTCAACAAATAATCCATATACATAAACTGCCAGTAACAAGATAAACTCCTATAAGAAGACTTATTGGGTCAAAGGTTATATGGGTTCAAATTTCTTACAAATATAGCCAAATAGCTCTCCACAGAGGTTATACCAATTTCTGAGGATAGTTTTATCACCATCTTTCCAGGTAGCTGATGACTATGCTCCATTTCAGGTTCAAGGTCCTCACCACAGCGCATCAACTCTTCAGTCCATTCTATAGGCGACAACCCATAACCAGGCTGACCCTGACCTTTCACGCTTCTTCACTGAGAACTTCTACATGGTGGGTACCATAGCGCCCTGTCCGGACCAATGCTTACCCAAGTGTTAATGAGCAGGATCACCTGAAAGCCACCCTTGATTCAAACTGCTCACTGGGGAGGGCTCAGCTGTTAGATACCCTGTGGGCTAACAAATTGTTAGTATGTAGCAGAGGGCCTGGTGCACAGGAGCTATTAATGATTATTTGTAAAAAGCTTAATGAATAATCCTAAAGAGTGGGCAGTATTACAAACCCCATTTTATAGATGAGTAAAATTAGGCCCTGTGATTTTACCCAAAATAACAGAACTAGTCAAGAGCTTGATCTAGAAGCTGGACCTTATGTCTCATTTTCTTTTCAGAATGTTTCACTGCCTTGTTAAAAAGCCTGTACCACGTGACTGTTCTGGAAGCCAACAGTCAAAAACTTATACTTCACAGGTATTTTCCCCATTAAGGAAATGCATTTTTAAAAGAAGTCACAGGTATCAAGAAAAGTCTACTGGACACATGGTACAGTGATTACAAGATGTCCGTTCATAAGTTCACTTCAAATTGACAAGCCTAATATTAAAGCTACCCATTCTGACAGAAAATCATTTTATAAGTGCCAACAGCTAGAAAACAGGGCTATAAAGGCTTGCTAAATTCATTAATAAGGCAGTCTGCAGTTATCTGATTTCACAGCAACACCTGCATATTTATCTACTCATTACCAATTGGATGATGGAATTTTTTCAAGCACATTTCAAAAATCTGCCAACTTCAAGTGTAAAAAAATAAACTTTGTGGTTAATTTTTCCCTTAACAAAGTACAGCTGTTGAGAATAATTGTTCAAGATCTTACCCTGTAATGTCAACTGCAGCAGAACAAAGAGTATTTAATTAGCAAATCTATCCAGTAATTCAACACCTATTATATAAAATGCCTTCGTGATTTTATTCAGGATAATTTGCTAAGAGGGTTATTACTGACATTCAGATGGAATTTAAAATTCCTACGCAAGTCGAGTCATAATAGCAGTAATGATCTCCCCAATCAGGAGATTCGGTGTCACACAAGGCTCTCTTGCAATGCAGCAGCCGATTTCCTGACTTCTTAATTCCTGGGCTCAGCTCAGTGAGAGCCCTTCGTGCCGATATTTCAGTCAGCAATACATCTTTAATGGGACTCTATTAAAATAACTAGAACAAAAATGACTTTTTTTTTGGTTAAAAAGAATGACAGCACTGCCATCATATCAATCATTGCAGGCTTTGCAGAACAGTGCCGTTAGGGGAAAAGAGGAGGGGGAAACAGGAAAGGAGTGGGGCTGGGGGTGGGGAGAGCAGTAATTAAAATAATACGAAAAAGTGTTTTAACCCCAATCTGAGCCTCTGAAGGCTGATGGAGGGTGGTGGGGACTAAAAGGAAATGTAAAGTGTATTTTAAAAAACTCTTTCCTAAAGAAAATAATGTATTCAGGAATACACCCACAATGGGGTTTACTAAGCAGAAAGAGCATGTTTCCGATGCTGGGTTTAACAGCGGCAGCAACCTAAGACCAACTTCTACTGACGTGTGTATTTACAGCTTCTCCTGCCAAGGCCAGGATAAGGTCTTTACTTTTTGTCATGACAGAATACAGGTGTCTGTCAATGCATTTAAAGGTTAGGAAATGGTTTTAAACACTATTACAGACTAAAACTGTGCTTATTAATACTAAATGAAAGCGAGAAAACACCAATTTTCCATGGCTAGAAAAAAAAGTTTCAAGCTCCTTTTCCAAAAGTACAGGTCTATTACAGTGACATCTACTAACAACAAGAAAGCCACTTTGATGATATATGATGGCAGACGATGCGGATACTAAACACAACAGAAATCCTACAAGTTAAGAAAATGTTGGGTAAGGTCAAATCCTAAACAAATAATGCATGAACAGAATGACAACTGAAATCTCAATGACTTTAGGATTCTTCTGTTACCGATGACATAAAATTAGAATTAAACTCAAAAGGTTTTTTTTAAAAAATACATTAGCATAACAGGGGTAGCAAAATGAATGGTTCTGAAGGATAGGGAAGAGAAAAGTAGAAGAAATATAAATATTATGATATTTGGTAATCCAACCATTATCTAAGCTTTCTTAGTCCCAATTTCGGCAGTTTCCAAGCAAGACTCTGTGTTACTCAGTTCTCCCACTTGGCAAACATTTATTTCATCTTCATTACACTCGACTGCCTTTTTCTTATTTTCCTATCCCCTGTTATTCTTAGGTGTGTGTCTTCTCTATAAGATGCTCAAGGAGCATAGACTATGGATTTAATAAGCACCCTAGTTTCGTTCTCTACCATTTAACATTCCTGTCTGGGTTCCTTACTGCCTTTAAACCTGAGTTTTACCTTCTTTAAAACTGGGGAAAAAGTACCACCCAGGTCCCTGAGATACGTGGGGATAAAAAGAACTCTATGCTGAAAACACAGATAGCAAAGATAAAACATTATACAAATTTGAGTTTAAAGAAAAGTCAGGAGTCTGAAATATGAGTACTGGTTTAAACTGCCAATTAGTAGCTGAGTGATTTGCGAACCATGTGGGTTCCCTCTCTAGGTCTTAGCATCCTCATTTAAAAAATGAAGAGGCTGGGATTCCTCCCAGATCTAAAAATCTAGAATCCAAGTTTGACATGTAGAAACACCTCTATCCTTCTATCTGGTTGTTCTGTCTTTCAACCACATTCATATCTTTAGTATTAGAAAAAGGAGGCACTAATACGTCCAACAAAGACCATGAGCATTACAAGAATATATATCCGTATTCAAGGTTACTTTTCAAGAGCTATGTGGTTGTAAAATAACTAGAAATATGTAGGCTCTCACAAGTTGTCTGCATATAGCTTAATGCACTTAATATAAGTGAGTGGGTATATTTACCATACAGAAAACATTCGACACCCTCTGTTGAGATCTCCCCCTCCCCCAGGAGAATACATACACATCATCTACATATATACATCAGGACTTCTCAACCTCAGCACTATTGACATTTTAGGCCAGAGAATTTTCCGTCATGGGGGGCTGTCCCTGGCCTCTACCCACTAGATGCCAGTAGCATGCATGCACGCACACGGACTCTTCAGCTATGACAGCCAAAATGGTCTCCAGATATCGCCAAATGTTTCCTAAGGGACAAAACTGCCCCTGGTTGAGAATCAGTGATATACTGAGGACAGCATTTTCTTTCTCCAAGTGCATATTCCACTGTCTGTCCCGTAAGAATTCCTTCTAAACCCCATCCATCTCCTCCAAACCCTCCCTGGCTCCAAAGAGGATAAATGGC